GCTCTGCCTTCGGGCACAGCCACCGAGAGCCGAGCCACGACCCCTGTGCCGTCGAACCCTCGGGGGCCTGAGTGAGGGGAGGAAGAGAAATGAGGCTAAAATCTGGTTTTCTTCTTCCGAATCATCTCTGTCCTCAGCGCCTTTTGTCTGATGTAGTCTGCGTTAGCACTCGAGAAGGTGGAAGCGGCCAACTCGCGTTTGTTGTGATGCGTTTTGGGCCCCTTTTATTCAGGAGGATCTCGATGTCCTTTTAAGGGCCTTTCCTCGCTTTAATCCAATTTTTAAAAGGGAGCTGCTTATTTTAAAAACAGCTTTGGAAGGATTTCAAGCGTTACTCCTCGATTCCGTACGGTTTTTAGGTTTGCAATCCATTCCTATTTAATTTGGCAAATGCAAAACAAACATACCGCAAGAGCAGACTTCCCCAGAGTAATTTTTATACCTGACTTGTGCAGAGAAATGTATTGGGAGCGTGGAGCTGGGGCTCACGTTTCACTTTATTTAGATCTGCATTTATAACGCTAAGCCTATTGATAATAGCCTTCCTGTATAGGAACCAATAAAATGGTTCCTTGCACGGTATTAATTTTGTTAGCGGTGATACGGCCCTCAGAGGAATCTGATAAGGGTTTGTCCATCACGCGTTAACACATCTCGCATTTGGGAAACACAAACGGTATTACGGGAGGAAACGTAGGGACAACCTCGGAGGGTTTCCGCAGGGTGTCGGGCCCCCTCCTATCCCCCATCCGACAGAAGATCCCGCTCGGCACTCAAGGGTAAGCCCGAGAACGCTGGGAATATAGGGCGCCTTTCCATCAAGGTTTTATGGCGACTGTGAAGTTGTAACGACCTCTCCCTGCCGCAGCCTTCTAGTTGACGAAGACGGAGCCTCGGGAGGGCCCCAGCAGAGCGGCTTGCTCACTTGTGTCCCGCTGCCCCAGAACTACCCGTCCGGAGCAATGGCAAAACTGGGGAGAAAAAATAAAATAGTAATTTCCCTCTTGTAGGCGACCGCTTACCCCGGAGACCACGTGAGGCGTGTCAGAGCCGGGGGTGGGGGGACAGCGCTTCCCTCCGGGGCTCTCTGAACGCCAAGGGTAGGGCCGGGACGCGGCACTCCGCGGGGCTCTGGCGAGGGCAGCGGGCAGAGCCGCCGCATCTCTTCCGGCCTCCCGGGAGCGGGGCCGCCGGCTCTGCTTCCCCGGGAGGAGATGCCGCGGGAAAGAAGAGCGAGCTCTGCCGCTCTCGGGTGGGCAGCGAGAGCTGGAAAACCTCGAGTAGTCCCAGGCTCCTCTCCGGCTGGAGAAGCCTTAATTCCTCTGGCCAGGCAGGCAGGCGACTTCAAAATGGCCTAAGCGAAAGATGATGGAAGTGAAAGCAAGAGATCATTAAGCGATTCATTAAAAAATCTATGTGTCTCTCTGTCTGCGTGCCTGTCTGTCTGCTATCTGTCTGCTCCCTCCGCCACAATTACAAATTGGCAGGACAGAGCTGTCTCCTATCTCAGGATTCATCTGCGTATCCTTCTCTCTATTATTTAATGCAGCGCTTGCGACAGAGACGGTGCTTCTGGAGAGGAGAAGAGTGAATGATCCAAAAGGGAGGGGTGGGGGAGGGGAGGACCTGGAGCGGGGGGGGAAAATAAAAATGATCGCCCAAATATAAACACGCCAATAAACAGGGTGCGCAGCATCGTGCGAGCATCCATCTGAGCTGCTCACGTCTGGATTCTTTCTGTGGCATATGTCTGGCTTTGGATTTTAAATGGCAATCAGACCTCGGGAAGAATCCAGCGTTAACTACAGCATTAGAAGCTGCAACCGCACAATTAATCCTCCAGAGTGGCACTGCTCCCTCCGAGATTCCTAAGCGCAGCAGCCAGCTCTTTATCTCTTGGAAATGTTAGCTGGGGGTGATATGGGGCTGAAAGGGCTCCCTCCCTTTCAGGGTTTCGAACGCAGGAGACACCAGGGCCCTTTACAGTTCCCGACGATTGTGATAAACAATAACACGTCTCTCATTCTTAAAAAAAAAAAAAAAAGAAAAAAAAAAGAAAGAAAAAAGAAAAAAAAAAGAAAAAAAAAAGAAGAAAAAAAAGAGACAATCAAATAAAACGAGCAGAGCCTGAGCATAAAACACAGGGAGAGCCGCGGCTTTATTAATTTCGTGACACACACACGGGCTGCTCGGGGAGGTGAGCACGGATCGCTTCCGGAGAGCCCGACCGCGGGGAGAGAGGAGCGATAATAAAAGCTTCATCTGGCCGCGGTCGCAGCCGGGGTGTCATAAACACCGCCGCGCAGAGCGGTGCGTGGGGCAGAGCGGAGAGAGCCGGGAGCCGCCGCCTGCCCCGCTCCGGCCCTGCCCCGCCGCGCCGCTCCGCACGTGTGCGTGTGGCTGGAAATCCATATCGCACATTAATATCCATCCATATCCCAAATTCAGAGGTCGACCTGAGAGCAAGCTCGGTGCATACGAAACCAGACGGGGAGGGGTTGCTGGGGAGGCCCGGGCTTCCATTGGCTGTAAGCGTTCGCCGCGGTGCGGGGGTATCTCTAATCATATTCAGCATGTTTTGCACAAGAAATGTCAGCCAGGAAGGGCTATCCGCTCCCTTCGCCAAATTATTCCACGACAATGTCATGCTCCGAGAGCCCGGCTGCAAACTCTTTCCTGGTGGACTCGTTGATCAGCGCGGGCAGAGGGGACGCGGCGGGAGCAGGAGGCGGAGGCGGAGGAGGAGGCGGCTACTACCCGGGCAGCGGGCTCTACCTGCCACAGGCGTCCGAGCTGTCCTACGGGCTGCAGGGCTGCGGACTGTTCCCCGTCCTGGGCAAACGCAATGAAGGTACTTCGCAAAGCATGGTCCCCAGCACGCACCCCTACGTGTCGGGGATGGAAGTGTGGCTAGACCCGCCCCGCTCCTGTCGCATGGAAGAGCCGGAGAGCCAGCAGGCCACCTCGTGCTCCTTCGCTCAAAACATTAAGGAGGAGAGCTCCTACTGCCTCTATGACTCAGAGAAATGCCCCAAGGGCTCGGCCGCCGCCGACCTCGCTCCCTTCCCGCGGCTGAGCGCCGAGGTCAGCCCCTCCGCCAACGGCACCGGGGTGCCGGTCCCGGGCTACTTCCGCCTCTCCCAGGCTTACGGCACCTCCAAGGGCTACGGTGCGGGGCCGGCCGGGGCGGCCCCCTTCGCTCCGCAGCCCCCCGGCCGCTTCCAGCCGCCGCCGTCGGGGCCGCCCGTGCCGGAGGCGGGCAGGAGGGAGGACGAGGAGCGCTCCCCCAGCCCCTCGGCGTGCGGCTCCCAGCGGGAGGACGAGACCCGCGCTTCGTCGTCTACCGCCGAGGAGCTCTCCCCCGCGCCGTCGGAGGGCAGCAAGGCCTCTCCCGAGAAGGAGTCCGTAGGTAAGCGAAGCACGGCGGGGTGAGGCTTAGGAAACGGTGATAAAGGTAATTAAAAAGGAAACGCGGGCGAGGAGCGTCACGACGCGAAAGGAGGATCCTGGCTGCCCCGCAGGGCTGCCAAGAAGCGCTGCTCGCGGTGACCTTCTGAACTTTGTAATATTCGAGCACGGGGTTGCCGTAAAAATTAACGTCCGTCCTATAGCTTAAAACCTCGAGAGCCTCCGCTCTGGGCAACTTTCGCCTGCGTGCGGCTTAAACATATAGAAAAACGAGCTCAATCTTTCCCCTGTGATGGGAAGGTGCCTACCAGATAACAGAGATGTTTGTATGGCATCCAAAATAAGCAATAGGCAGTGCCAATAAATAAACCTATTAACGCGGTAAGTTATATTTTACGATCCAGAATGCTTTTCGGAATAACAGCCGCGCTGAAATGTGCCATCTATGAACTGCTATCAAATTAGACTGATGAATGCACCGCGAATATCCTTCAGCGTCTACACTAGATAACAGGGTTGTTATTTATTCATTCGCCTATTTATTTCCCTCTCCGGTCCCCATGGCGAAAGCCTAGCTCCCCTTCCGTGGGCCGCAGACTTTCTAGGCACTCCTCTCTGGCTGCATTTCAGACGCCCTGTTATTCCTTCAGGCGCCCCGTTGGAGAATAATAATAATTAAAAATAATTTAAAGATCAAAACGAAAGGCAAGCAAAGGAAAGCTCCTAGAGAGCCAGCCCCACGCCTGCGAGCCACTCCAAGCCATCGAGGGATCGGTGTTACTTCTTTCCCATACGGTTCCAGCGATAGGACTTCCCGCCCTGAAAGGGGGTGATTTCCCCCCCCCCTTTCTTTTATTATTATTTTTTTTTATTTCGCCGATTCGTGGGAGAGCAAAAGGCCATGGCGAGGCAGCCCGGGAGGCAGGGGGCTAGGGCCCTGCAGCTCACCTTGTTTTCAGCCCCCAGAGGACACTTACGAAGCTGAGATCCTCCCGTTTCGGGTGGCTTTTGTTTTTGGAAGCAGGTGTCTCGGGAGGGCCGAAAGGCTTCAGGCTCCGCACCGAGCCGCCCCCCAGGAACGGCGGGGTCGGAGCGGGGAGAAGCCCGTTTCGGGGGGTCGGAGCTGGACTCCCCTCCGAGCATCCCAGCAGAGGAAAGGCTGCCCCGTGGCAGCCCCAGGGCCTTTAGGAGAGCGCTCGGGAGCTTTCGGAAGGCCACCACACCCCAGCACTGGAGGAGCGATCCCCTGTATGCGCACACACCCACACACGCTTTCCACCCTCTCCCCCAGCTGTTTGCTTCCTACCCGCTGGTAATGTCCCTCTTTTACTTTCTCAAAACTAGGCAATTCAAAAGGAGAAAATGCAGCAAACTGGCTAACCGCAAAAAGTGGCCGAAAGAAACGGTGCCCCTATACCAAGCATCAAACTCTCGAGCTGGAAAAGGAGTTTCTGTTCAATATGTACCTGACTCGTGAGCGTCGCCTAGAGATCAGCCGCACAGTCCATCTCACAGACAGACAAGTTAAAATCTGGTTTCAAAACCGCAGAATGAAACTGAAGAAAATGAACAGAGAGAATAGGATTCGGGAGCTAACAGCCAACTTTAATTTCTCTTGATGAACCTATAAACACATCTTTATGGTTTAAAGAGCCAGTATCATTTTCCTAGGCTGTAGTCATCCGCACCTGTATGGATTAACGATTTTAGACGTTCTCAGTATGTCCTTAAAGTCTTAATGGCTGCTTCGGGGCTGCGGGGGGAACGGAAGAAAGCCATGCTAACGCTGAGGGCCATGTGTGAGCCTCCTCGGTTCCTGCAGCCTTCCCCGGGCCCGCTTTGCTCTTTCAAACTTTGAAAGCCCAGAAATAGGATTTCAGGAGCTGCAAACATTACCCCCCCTCCCCCCCTTCTCCCAACCCCATGTCTCTCCGAAAAGTAAAGGCGCATTCTTTTAAAATATAGGCGGTGTAACTCGGACTGTAAGTAGCTTCGGAATGAATTATTTAAGCCGTGCCATATTTCTATATACTGGGAGCTCAGCTTTTTCTCCCTCTGTTTTCCCTGTCTCCCCCCTCCCCCTTTATCCTTCCCAAAGCAGGACTTGCAATAATGAAATGCAGGCATCCTTTAAAAGGACTTCATGGGAACTAGCGTTAAGAGCAATTTTTTGTTCTTTACCTTGAAAGTCAATATTACGGCTTTGAAATTGGCCAGGAAAATGAAATCTCTTCTCTTTAAAGATATAAAAAAAAAAAGTTCGTCTCGCTCATGGACTAAAATATGACACTTACCTCTGAATTTCTCTCTCTCTTTCTGGTTGTAGATATTTATGTAACGTAGTTTTGCTTAAAGATGTGGAATTAGTGATTTTTTTTTTTTTTTTGGTCGATAAATAGCGTTACCGTTGGTAACACGGGATAAGCACACAACGATTCCCCCTTGAGAGAAAAAAAAAAAAAAAAAAAAAAAAAAAAAAAAGCCGTCACTTTTTCCTCACTAATTTCACTGCAAAGTGTACATCCTGAACATCAAAAGGACTTTCTGAGCCAGAGCCTGAGATAGCGAGGGAGAGTTCGTCCGTCTTCCTTTATACTGTGAAGTTACGTGCATCAAAGGGTCAAGCTTATAGGTGAAAAAGATTAGAAAAAGATTTTAAAAAGGAGAAAGAAAGAAAGAAAGAAGGGGAAAAACTATAAGTACAGATATGTATAAATGTCTATTATTATTAAAACGCCGATACCGTTTTAAGCAAATGCATTCTATCGTTATTATAAATGTTAGTTCTAGCTATATCTAGTTCTTACCTTAAATCGGAATAAATTAATATTGTAATGCTGCTGTGCGTGAAAAAGACGATGTTTATGTTCTCATAGAAGAATAAAAAAAGTGGAATGAATCCTTTTAATTTTACCTCTTTTTGTGACTGTTTATCCTCAGGTTCTACTTTATGTCTTCGAGAACTTTTACAACAGGAATAGTTGCCTAAACCCCCTGCAATTACTTTAGGAATCTATTTAAATATTACCTAGACGGTCGTAATTTGTCTGGGCCATATAGCGATGGTGCTCTAAGGTTTGTCGGCTTTTGTTCAGTTTTATGACTTGCTAGTATATCTGGATTGTTGCTGTCTTGAACGAGTGGTTTCAGTTGACTGAGGAGCTGCACAGACTGAGGAAGCAAATTACAATTTCTTGAGGGTAGGGAAGAGATTTTTATTTTCTCACCCACTCCCCCACCCCCACCCCCTTTTAATCACACACCTTCGAGGGTGCAGAGATCTTTAGCTGCCGAGGACGGTGACAAACCGTAGCTTTATCTCAGGGCTCGGAAGAAACCGTGAAGGTGAGCGCATGGGGAGGGGGGAGGTGAGAGCCGCCTCCGTGTCACCGGGCCCCCTCGGACAGGGCCGTTCCCTACCTGGCTGCATGCGGGAGCGCTTATTCCCCCCGGGCCGCCTTTGCATCCTCCCTCCTTCGCTGCATGCTTAGCTAGCGGGAGCTCGCACAAAGGGAAGGCACAACGAGGGCTGGCAGAGGAGCGACAGCTCCAGCTTTCTTCCCGGGTATGTGTGTGCTGGGAGGAGGGGGAGAGACTTTGAACCCGGGCTTAGAGGGAGCCGTTAGCTTTTTATGATGTAACATCGCAGCGGACGGCCTTCCCATCTGCATGGAGAGGCGAAAGCCGCCCTCGGGGGGGGGGGGGGGGGGGGGAGGGTGAAGGAAAAAAAAAATAGAAAGCC